GGCATACTGTGATATGCATCACCCAAGTCAGCGAACCTGGCCCTCGATCCCGTTAGTCGTCACTTACGGCAAGCATAGCCGCCTCTTAACGGGATGTATGGGTTGCTGAAGACCTATATTCTCCACCCGGATCTTCACGGGTAGACACATGGTCAGAGTAGGTTGCTTTCACTGTGGAATTTTATAGAATATTAACACGATTGCAAAGTATTTTATCACGAGGTTGTCCATAAATAATTTTCCCAAAGGAGTGAGTGAGTGAGTATGGTTTAACGGCGCTTTCAGCAATATTCCAGCAATATAACGGCGGGGGACACAAGAAATAGGCTTCACACATCGTACCCATGTCGGGAATGAAACCCGGGGCTTCGGCGTGACGAGCGAACGCTTTAACTTCAAGGCTACCCGACCGCCCCTCGAAGGGTGTTTGCAACAAACCTGTGAAGATGATGGCGTTCTCGGCGCATGAGCTATATTCACTTCCGGTGTCACTTTCGGTCACCCACTGATCATCGTCATCATCATCCACTGGGCTCGGCTCTAAATAAAGAAGATGATAAGAACTAGGTGTTAGTTTTACGCTGCCTCGAACAGTATCCGGGTGGAAACGACGAGAAGCAGGTTGAACCCACGCGAATGACTGCAGTCCTGACAGTCAAAGGATCATAATTGGGGCGAATACGGGATCAGACAGGTTCCCTGGGATTGCTGCGCTGGCGTTACACTGTAGCGCCAGCGCAGCATAGCCAGGGAACCAGGCTGATACGGGATTCAAACTCACGACTTGCGGTTCCTGGCAAGGCACGAGTTGGTTTGTGGACATGAACATAATATGACACAAATAAAAGTATTTGAAGAAAATTAATAAAGTCCCACAGGAACTTTCCCGAATTTGAAACCATATACGCCTTCATCACTTGAGTTGGTCAGTGTATAAGCGAAGAAGAGTGTGTATAACAAACCCGTGGTGAACATGTTATCTGCAGTGGAAGGATGTTTACTTTCAGCATTACTTCTGTTGTCAACATGTTGGGCTTCGCCGATAGAAACATCCTGTTCCACGAGGCTAGGCTCTAAATAATGAAGTAGAAGATAGTTATTATTGTGTGTGTGTGTGTGTGTGTGTGTGTGTGTGTGTGTGTGTGTGTGTGTGTGTGTTTTGTTTTACGCCACACGCAGCAATATTCCAGCTATATGACGGCGTTCTGTAAATAATCGGGGTCTGGACCAGATAATCCAGTGATTGACATCATGAGCATCAACCAAGTCAGCGAGCCTGACTACCCGATCCCGTTAGTCGCCTCTTAAGACAAACATAGTCGCCTTTAACGGCAAGCATGGGTTGCAGAAGATCTGTTCAACCCCGGATACCACGTTATTATTGAGTTAGGTTGTACTCTGGTTAGAACAGTATTTCGGTGTTGGCGTGACATGGGAGGAACCAATAAACATGACTAAAGTCCTGACGGCCAGAGGCTCGTAACAAAAGACACTAATTGGGTGCCGTTGTACAAAGCGAACTTAGCGCTAAGGTGATCGTAACTCCCATACCTTAACATAGACTCACAACAGTCGCAGCGCTAAGGTAGTTTAGTACGACACCCAGGTCTTTCTATGTGCACAGTTTCGAGAAAGGGTACTGGCCAGTTTAAGATATATGGACCGGACAAACACACCACAATGAACGGAGTCAAAGTCAAACTTGTTGCCATGGAAACAGGAACATTTTCTATTTAAATCCCCAAAATAACAAAAGGGTACAAATGCAGTCAACGATCAAGTGATACTGTAGCCCCTATATTACTCACGCATCGATCTGTTTTCCTTGCAAGGGGTCAATGCCAAACCAGTCGGGGCCACACATGTTCCACATAGTGTCATGAGTTCACGTCTTAGGTTTTCTGCAAATTCTTTACTATAGTTTTCTCTGGGCACACCGCACGTGTAGGTAATGTCACCAATTCTCGGCAGTCTAGAATTGTAGTGAGAGACGCTCATTATTTACTGTAAAATCATGGTTAATACTATACATGTGTGCCAAATAATATGTATGTAGAAAGGTCTGGGAATACCGTGGAATTCATCCCAACCCTGCTTCCTTTAATAACTTGTCCATGAGAAGAAAAAAATAATGAAATAAAAAACCACGTCTTTCACAACTTGGACAATGTGAGTGCCAGTGTTTCATGACGATAAGTGCAAGTAGAGGCGACTTCAGACAAGAACGCGTGTCTGTCTGGTGTTTAACGCCGACAGCAGTCTTTAATCAATCGAGACTACATTGATTGACAGAATTAGCATATACCTACGCAACTGGGATACGATACCCGTTGATAGCCTCTTACGACAAGCATAGTCAACCCTTACATCAAGCATGGGTTGCTGAAGATCAGTTTTATCCCGGATCGTCATGGGTCATGAACGCATAAATATCCGAACACATTACCTTATCTTAAAAGATATAGTTAGGGATAAGCTGAATGATATCAATTTGCAATCCTGGATAGTTGCGAGAGATACATCTTCCAAAGGAGCCATGTATATAATTGGTTAAAACACTATTTACTCAACCCAGATGGAAACGTTTGGAGACTTTTGCTAACTGAAAGACAATGACAAAGAGATGAATCAAACTATTTGTTTCTCTGCCCTTTGTATGAAACGTGAGGTAACAATTGATCCATAAAGATTATATTAACGCTAACATGGTAACTTGAATTTGCTCTTTAATAACCCAAGATTAGGAACATTAAGAGTGAGTGAGTTTGGTTAAACGCCGCTTTTAATAGTATTCCAGTTATATCGCGGCGAGTTTGGTTAAACGCCGCTTTTAATAGTATTCCAGTTATATCGCGGCGTGTCAGCTTAATGTGGGAGGTGAGGTGAGGTGAGGTGAAATTGGGTTTAACGTCGCGTCAAAGATTATTGCACTTATATCGCGACGTGCTTGCACGTGTGTGTGTGGCTGCTTGTACTAGTCCGGACTGATGCCGATTTATAGTGCTAGCTCACTGAGATACCATGCCGCAGTTTAACATGAATACCCCACTTAGACACAGTATACTGACTCCGAGCCGACCAGTCCTTGTTTTAGCCCCTTAATGTCGAGCGCCAGACAGGGTAACAACAAGTACCATCTTTTAACGTCTTTTGGTATGACGCGGCCGGGGATCGAACTCCGGACCTTCCGCTCTCCGGGCGGACGCTCTACCACAAGACCACGGAGGCGGCTTAATGTGGGAGGAAAGCCCGAAGTGATGCAGGTCTCAGACGTTTACCACTTCGGTGAAACCCACGAGCACGGGTATGGGGCTGACAAACCTTCCGTTCCGTTCAATTGAATTCATCTGGCACCAAGAAGCGAATGGCCACCGCGAACAACATGGAATTGGACCAAGGGGAAAAGGGTGGGGTGGGTGGGGGGTAATCTGGGTCCAAAACCAAGGCCAGTAGAAAAATCCCTAAAATTAATTCAACCCGGACATTTTAAGGAACAACCAAATTTCTATCACAAATCATAAATTAGGTATAGGAGATGTTATATAAAAAAACCCAGACAAAATCAGACTTGAGGAAAATCTACAATGCCATGTCAATGTTTGCTCCAAATCACTCCCCATTCAGTTTCCCAGTGTTTATAGTTGTAAGGAAAGTACTACCTGTTGCTACCATAAACAAGATGTCAGCCTCAATGTCGTCTGCTTTACAGTGGAATAATATTCATTTTCTACTTTGTTGACGTCATGACTGAGAGTGAAAATCATCTAAATGGTGAGTAAAAGTTACATTCTGTGTACAACATTTGTTACAAATGAATTACTAGGTTGATCATTTTACTATTTATGATTCAAATGCACTCTAATGTTAGGCTAGTCAATGGTCAATTTGGCAACTTTTATATTTGATGTATGCTAGATATTTCATCAAATATTAGTATCATGTTCCCATTGATTTCTATGTAAACAAACATTGTTTAGGAATAATGAAATATATGCGTTTCATAGACAACTCAGTCCTTAATCATGGTTAAATTTATACCCTATATATCAGGTGTTGGTTGCAGTGATACTATTTTCCAACATACTAATTTTCAATCTTGGAACGTCAACTGAACCCAATTTTTAATTATTGGTTTTTAACTATTTACTGTAGAAAATCTACATGAAACCCCCTGAATGTAATCTTCAATTCCATACCTTGCAAATTAGCTGTTAGTTGAAGTAATACTATTTTCCATCAGACTTCTTTTCTCTGAGAACATCTTACCAAACCTGATTTGTTTTTGTAATGTAATATGTATGAGAAAAGATATGCAGCAAATAACCTGAATATAATCTTTACATGGATCTGTTGAATTTTCAAGAATATGTTTGTATCAATTACTCATTTTAACAAAGAAAACATAAGTGTAATTAATAAGTTATTTTTCTGTTCATTCTAAAGGATACAGAGTGAGATTCTTATTAGATCACTAATTTCATTGTTCATCTAATATGATTATGCCACAAATAGCCACAACCTATATCAAAAAGAAACTTAGCCCCTTAATCCGAATGCCAGGCAGGGTAACAACCATCTTTTAACGACTTTCGGTATGACGAGGACGGGGATCGAACCCACGACCTTCTGTACAGTATACTGACTCCGAGCCGACCAGTCCTTGTTTAAGCCTCTTATTGCCGAGCGCCAGACAGGGCAACAACAAGTACCATCTTTTAACGTGTGTCCATGAAAGTTTAATTCAAGACTTGTCGAGACCAATCACCAATCTTGAGGCCCCTCAAATGCACATTGGGTTGAAAAAGCAAGCCGCACCTCGATCTATCCTTATTTTCAAACTACTGTGCATTTGCACATACTGTGTTAAACAACATTGTGTTGCAGATTTCATTGTTTTGCCTTTGAGTATTGTAGTAACACGTACTCTCAGTGATACTAAGAGGTAAAATAGCTTAAATACTTTTGACGTCTTCCCAATTCACGAGGCCGCATGTGAATGATTAGTATATTTTTTTTATGTGAACTCCTTGGGGGATTATCTTAATCCATCAGAGAAAGGAAGAAACCACGAATTGTGCTTGGAATTGTGAGTTATGCTACACTCGGTCAAAGTTTGACGTAAATAAGCGTTATTTCTTTTGAGATTTTCCCGATCCATGCATGTAAACAAAACAAGATGTCGGACGGGAGCTAGCCGCGGGAGATATCATTCTCAACTGACGTCGATTGGTGTAGGTAGGGAGCTTCTCAAACAAAGAATGGTAACGTGGCACTCTATGTAGCCAGCTAATCATCATAAAGAAAATACTGATGCATGTCAACTCTGGAGGCTCAATGATTTACGCGCGGGCGAATCCCTGTTGACATATCGATACATTCTCATGGCAACACGAAAATATGGTAATATAATGTGAATCGTTGTACCTTGCAGACCATATGTTATGTTACTGCAGTGTAGTTACGTATATTCGGACGGCATATAGATCCACTATCGGACAATCTTTTGAAATAAGCCTACAAACGATCTGTACATTGTTTATTGGCGTCCTAAATTCTAACCCGGAAGTAGGATTCAACGTGGCAATTTTCTCGATCGTTGATGATTGGTGATTCAGACATATTATCTTAATGTCGTCGTGTAAGTTTAATTAATACATCTCACTGTAATGTTCCATATAAGGATTACCATGTATTTTGCATAGATTCAATAATAAGATAAAACACACAAACTCGAGTTAGATTTTTACACGCAGTTACCTCCCTTCTTCCATAGCTGGTCAAGCTCCTTCCCAGCGCGTGACACCTTCGTTACACTCTCGGTAACATCGCTGCCACCAGTGTGGGCGCGGCCATTACAAGTATCTTGAAATTTGCCCTCTAACCCCAAATGTAGTAACGTTCATACTTTTGGTTATGTCTTTGGGCATGCCATCATAGTTAGTTTTGAAAAGGTTTACGACTGGCCATGTTTTCCAGATGAATTTACTTTGTTGTTTGTTTCATCAGATTGGTTCGAGATTGCAGACTAACTGAAAATCAACCAACTTCTCCCTTACATTCTTACAATATCAATTACATGATATTACAGTTTTGAATGGTTTTGATAGTATAGAGAGCTCCGCGAACGTACTATCGCCGTGAGGAGCTTGATAGCTGGTCAAGCTCCTCACAGCGATATCACGTTCGCGGAGCTCTCAAAACTATCGCAGCCACCAGTCAAAACTCCCCACAGTGATAGATGACCTCAACCATGCTTGGAGTTGAACTCGCAACCGCTTGGCCGTTACGTTTACAAACAACTGACGACTGTCGGGACGCCGAAACACTTACCCCTGCTAAATTACTTTCTTTGTTAGTCAATTTGAATTTCTATTTAATTAATATCATGTAAGTGATATATACACAAAGAAAAAAGTTAAGCACATCCCCATTTCTGAACCATGACAAATGGCAAAAATCATGGCATGGGATGACTGACCACAGGAGCTGGGCCATACCAATGTCATCGGATAGAACAAATATTTTAAAAACAAATAAAAAAGATATTGGTGAGTTGTGATTGCTATTTACTGACAAAAACATCAACGTAACACATGCAGGTATTGTTTTTGACCTTAGACAATACCTGAAAAGTATGGAGCTGCAGGATTAAGTAAACGAGTTACGTTTGATGTTTCATGTTAAATGTTCCTTAAAGCTTCTACTTGACATGACACGTGAAACAGATCAGTCCTGCTTCTAATTGGTGAAATCTTGTACAGGAGGATCTCGATCGTGCCTGTATGCGCCGCCCCAGAATTTCCCAAACATGTTCAATGGGGTTCAAATCCGGGCTCATTGCTGGCCAGGGTAGAGTCGTTATTGCATTGGCCCTCATGTAATCCACGACTGCATGCGAACGATGAGGCCTGGCATTGTCATCCATGCACTGAGGTCGAGTAGCAAGAGGGTGTTTGTCAAAATGAGGAACGACGACTGGCCTCAAAACGTCCCGAATGTACTGAGCCTCTGTTAAGTTGTCCCTTATGGTGACCAAATCCAACCTGCAATCATGAGAGATACACCCCCAAACCATTACCGAGCCCCCGCCGTATGTAACAGTCGGTTTAATGTTCCTGTAGGCCGTATTCCGGTGCCTCCAAACTCTCGTTCTTCCATCAGTGGCGTGGAGCAGAAAGCGACTTTCGTCTGACCAATGGATCCGTCTCCAAGTTCTCGGATTCCAGTCGCGCAATACACCATGCTAAACGAGCAGCTTTGTGGTGATCTCTCAATATGGGACGCTTTATGGGTCGTCTGACCCTCAGTCCTGTTGCTTTCAGTCGGTTCCTGATGGTTCTGGTGCTGTTACGACGATTGGGCAACCACAGCTGTTTCAGACGAGTACTTGTTAAAAAGGGTTCTCGGCGTATGAGACGAAGGTCCCTATCTTCGCGATGTGTCGTCACAGGGATCTTCCGGATCTGGGACGGTCCTGTCCATCACCGGGCTGAGCATGTTTCTCGACTGAACGGCACACGACAGTGTGATGATACCCCATATTCCGACCAATGGCATTACCAGACATTCCTGCGTTATGCATGCCGATTATTTGCCATCTTGTGGCGTTTGATAATCGCCTTCGTGCCATGGTCACACAATGTCATGGAATAACTGTTTAAAGCCGAGCTTAAGGAAGCAAGTTTAACGTTTGGATATACTGCTTTTAGAGATATACTCTGGAAGGTAATTTAAGGTACCGACGTTTACTACAATATCTGAAAAACTATTGGACCTACTCCAGTCAAAGTTGGTATGAGATTATTAAATAGTCATACATAACTGGATATTACATTTAAAGACAATCGGTGCATTAATACAAAATCACAATATTTCATCCACAACTGATATTCGTTTCAGCATTCAATTCCAAATTTCACTTGCCGATCGCTTGCCAACTTGTACCCGTGTCCAACTCGTGTCTTGCTCTCACATGACATAAACATTTAACGTGATCCCTCATGCAGATGGTTCAGTAAAACTACCACTGATCGAGCATCTTAGGGGTAAGTTCTGATATCCCCCACCGGTTATCTTTATGGGTTTGCACATTTGAGTACCGCCGAGACAAAAATGAAATTTGACCAAGACGACATGTGATATCTTGACCATCCTGTCAAATTGTCCGATTGACTATTTCCTCGCGATAATTCGCGCGACTTGGCACTGCATTCAGCGCAGAAGACCAGTTACACATAGGCGATGTAAATAAACTATGTTGGGAATAATATCCAAAATTTCATTGAGTGTTAGGTAAAAAAATGACAATATTTATCTGATTTAGTAGGTGAGACCGGGGTGCCATTTGTAATATCCAGTCTAGATATCTATATCCCAATTGAAATGGATTAAAAAAGAAATAGACACATCTTCTAATCAACACCTTAATAATGAATCACTGAAAAAAATAGTTATTTCACAAACATGAAATTAACTGAGACACTGATTTTTTAATTTTTAAAAATAATTTTTTTAAAAACCCGTCCCAATGCATCCCCAGTAGGATTGTGACATTAAAGACATGGATAGATAGATGTTGTCTGTATGTAACTAGTTATTGTTCAGGACTCTATAACAACTAATTAAATGTCAGACTATAACTAATTCTTTGACCGTAAGATATATGCAGATCAGCTCAATAAGCTTAACTGGAAGGTCAAGGAGACCAGTTATTGAACCTACAAGAAAAGTATCTTTCATTGATATTTCATCATGTTTCAAGAAACAAATCCAAAGTAAATGTCAAAGTAATGACATTTTGAATTCATAATAATGATTACATGCTGGTCATTTAGAATTACATGTTTGGGGTGCACCTCGGTATCCCCTATATTTATAAGATGAATTTAATATTCAGATTAATACTTAATGCCATCATATTGCAAAATGTTTATAAATTAATCGTTATTTTAGAGTAATATATAAGTTAGGGTTAACAACAGTCACTGCTGAAGATTTATTTTTTTTAAATTATGAAGAGTTATCCCCCCTTGACCTTCAGTAATAATTATGGCATTTGTCAATGAATAACAACAAATGAACGTTACCTGCACGAAATAAATTAACTTTCCATGTTGAATTGCCATCATATACATATATTTAAAACAAAATCAGTACACCTATCTTTTCGTGTAAAAATGTGAATGGCAAATTTATACTAGCCCTTATGATACCTCAAGTACTGGGCAGTTTGGCGAGGACTACAGGACGAGTGCCAATTGCTAATGCTCCCAAGATATACTAGTTATATACCATGTCAACCAAACCTCTGAAAGAATTTTAAATAATGATTAACTAATTCATTAGCATATTTCCTTGTGATGTAGATTTATGTGTTAATTGCTTCTCAAAAGTAATATATTTGTTCATAACTGTACGGTTGGTGGTTGAACTAGAAATAAAAAACAAAGTACCAAAATGAGTCAAACTAAGTAAATTGGTTTGGTAAAAAAAAGAGAATTATTCTTTTCAAAGGGTTTCATATTTATAGTCATTACCTATGATTTTTTTTATTGCTGAAGATATGAACATAATAATTGACAATGAATAAAACCCATGTCATATCACTTCTGTTCAATGTCCTGACAATTTTTATTCCATAGGTCTATGAACAGAATAAATAATAAAATACAGACCAAACTATGTATGTATGTTTGTATGCTTAGCCACTTTTGCAATACAATTTAATAACTGAGTAATATGCAGATTTACAAGTACCCTTTCAGGGTCAATCACTCATGCCTGTCTTAACAAATGAAAAATCAAAAAGTCAACTCAACATGTTCAAGAAACATTTATTATTAAATTGTATTTACAAATGTCACACCGTGATATAACTGAAAATACTGTTTAAAGCGGTGTTAAATTTATTTCTCTCAGCATGCAAAAGACAAATGGACAAAAAAGTATTTACAATTAGCACATGATTGGTATTTAGTTTTACAGTACAAGATGAAAGACAAGTAGGGATGCTCCCCAGAAAAAGTTTTTATGATGTAAGTTATAAATAAAATCCATCATAAAAAGATCTACCATAACAGTTTAAAT